GAACAAGGGGAGGCTACCTGACCTGACGCAGAAACCTGACCAGCAGCAGCTACATGAGGAGGCGCAGTCGTCAGTGTGTAAAGACTCGACCCTGGGCGACGGGTAAACGTGGCTAGGTGGCGGCCGGTCCGGGAGCACGTACAGATCGCCACACGCTGTCCTCCAGGGGTAAAGGTGTCAACCCACTAGTCCTGGAGAACTGCGTTGCTCACCAAGTTCGTAGAGAACGAGGGGAGGTGGAAGCCTGTCAGTGAGCCAGACGGAACCGCCGGGCACGGAAGCACAGTGGTGGACCGTGCAAGAACTGGGCCCCCTGAGGGGTCAGCCAGAGACACTGCAACAGGTGCAGGGAGTGGTGTGAGTGCGGTGCTGTTACGGAAGAAGCAGCGGGAAGCACCTGAGTTAAGCGTGAAGGTGTGCAAGGCCTTAGGAGGCGCAGTACCTGAGAGAGCAGACTCACCAGCACCTAAGGCAGCAGCCTCACTAGCACCTAGAGCAAAAATCTCTATACCGGGGTCGTACTGCACACACAGGCAGTCACTCTGAGCACTACCAGGCACAGCAGACATGGCAGTAAGGATGGCGTCATAGTCTAAAGCAAAGACATCAACGCCCGACCTAAGCAGCTCAAGCCAGTGGGGGGTCTCAGCCTCGTCGTCAAACTCTGCGTGCCAGGCGTCAGTCAAATAGGCGAAACAGCGGGACTGTGCGTGATCAGGTGTCCCACAGGTCTGACCAGCTCGACGACCTATGCGAATGACGTACGGACAGCGACCAGGACTCGGAGACGTCCCACGCTGGTAAAGCCACTCACGAAGCTGCTGGGGCTTAAGGGTCGGACGCCGCCGTAGCTGCATCTGGCCACCGCCAGAGACTCCACACCACACAGCTCCACAGTGACTGCTACTACAGCCGCCACGACTCCCACTGCTGCCACCACCGCCGTCACCACTCCCACCGCGACGACAAGGTGAAGTCATGACGGGCAAGCTAGGAGGAGCGCGACCTCTAGGGCAGTACGGAGTGAAGGCAGTAGTACGAGTAGCAGCAGCAGTAAGACGAACAGCAGAGCGGCTCGTGAGGCTAGGCTGCAGCACCTCCAGCACTCCTAGCAGCACCTCCACCAGCAGCAGCAGTAGCACGAGCAGAAGGGCGGATCGTGTTGGGTGGCGCGGCTCGGCCTGGGCGGCGCGGGCAGCAGGGCGCGGCGCGCTGGCTGCAGCAGGGCGCGACGCGCAGGGCAGCAGGGCGCGACGCGCGGGCTGCAGCAGAGCGCGACGCGCGGGGCAGCAGCGCGCGACGCGCGGGGCAGCAGCGCGCGACGCGCGGGGCAGCAGCGCGCGACGCGCGGGCTGCCGTAGGGCGCGACGCGCGGGGCAGCAGCGTGCGACGGGCGGGCTGCCGTAGGGCGCGACGCGCGGGGCAGCAGAGCACGACGCGCGGGGCAGCAGCGCGCGACGCGCGGGCTGCCGTAGAGCGCGACGCGCAGGCTGCCGTAGGGCGCGACGCGCAGGCTGCCGTAGGGCGCGACGCGCAGGGCAGCAGCGCGTGACGTGCAGGGCAGCAGGGCGCGACGTGCAGCTGCCGCAGGGCGCGGGCTGCAGCAGGACGCAGGGCAGGGTGCTGGCGCAGGGCAGGGCGCTGGCGCAGAGCAGGGCAGGGCGCTGGCGCAGGGCAGGGCGCTGGCGCAGGGCAGGGCGCTGGCGCAGGGCAGGGCAGGGCGCTGGCGCAGGGCAGGGCAGGGCACTGGCACAGGGCAGGGCGCTGGCGCAGGGCAGGGCGTGGGGAAACGCGGTAACCGTAGTCGATCACTAGGTAATGGTGGGCCAAAAAAAAAAACGGTCCTACGGACCTACTGCTGTGAAACCATGTTAAGAATGAACAAACAGGAATGGTGTGAACTATCGAGAGAGTTGGTACAAGTACAAAACCTAAAAGGGTTGTACCCCATGTTGGCTACCCCACTATAGCCTACCCATTATACCATCACATTTATATAGTTAGACATGTCAAAGTACCGTAGCAGAATGAGAGGAACTAGCAAGGATGGGATACAGCAAGGCAGCCCTAAAATTGTTGTACTCTCTAAAGAGCCTCTCAGTTTCGCCTAAAACTAGCACCTGTACGTATAATTTGACACACCTTCATAGATGTTGAATTTACATTGAAATATAAGACATAGTGAAGTATCATTTAGGTTTATCCCTGTTGGTGGTGTACCCCTCTTGCCACCTTCCCCTTGCTCTATATTTTGTAACATATCTCTTCCAACAATGGAACCCTCTCTTCTCTCACTTTTCCCTCGCTACTCTCGTTACCACTCTCGCTATGGCTCCTAAGGAAGTTTTTAGGAAGTTACTTTAGATTCTGACAATAGGCTAGAATCGGATGTTTGTCTCAACTCAACCTTTATTGCAAGACCCTGCCCAATCTCGGCTCACTTTGACCATAAATTCGTAATACCGTCATCACCCGGATATAAGACAGTGTTGAATAGTAGACAGGGGTTGTCTATTATACGGGTGTCTCTTATAAACAGGCTAGCCTTTTTATACGACACCTATTTGTGTGTACGAGATAAGACATATGTGTCTTATAATAGAAATTGCAATGTATTATAGTGAAAAATGAAATACCGCGTACATTTTTACCCTTGCGACACGCGAATTCTGCCACGTGCTGACTCATGAACTACCAATTTTGCCTCTGCAAGTATTCGGGATGACGTGGCGTCCCGAACAATGGTTGCCGAAGTGGCATCTTCGCAATATCCACACTCTTAATGAGAAACTCTTTTGAAGATGCGTGAAAGTATTTCTAAGTAGTTAAAAAATGTTTCCATTTATAAGACATATAAGACACCCAAAACCTCCCCAAATACAAGATAACCCAAGCATTTTTTTTAGTGTATGAGATAAGACATATATGTCTTATATCCGGGCGATGACGGTAGTTACTCCCCAAACCACCACTCTTTCAATTTCCATTATACTGACATTATTGCAATTACTGGTAAGCCTGCTTTTCCTCTTCATCAATACAGAATCCGGCAGGAACAGGAACATCAAGCCAGGATCATTGCAATCTATTGCCACCAGCATCAGCATAACCATCAACAACAGCAGCAGCATTAGCAGAGTCACCAGCATCACCAGCACCACCAGCTGCTGCAGAAGCAGCAAAATCGACAGCTCTCCTCTGTGCAGCAGAAGCACTACCAGAGTGACAATCACCAGTAATGGCAGCACCAGCAGTGACACTACTAGTACCAGCCGCAGCAGAATCATCATCAGCAGCAGCAGCTACAGGAGCTGCAACATCAGCAGCTCTCCTCTGTGCAGCAGAAGCACTACCAGAGTGACAATCACCAGTAATGGCAGCACCAGCAGTGACACTACTAGTACCAGCCGCAGCAGAATCATCATCAGCAGCAGCAGCTACAGGAGCTGCAACATCAGCAGCTCTCCTCTGTGCAGCAGAAGCACTACCAGAGTGACAATCACCAGTAATGGCAGCACCAGCACTGACACTACTAGTACCAGCCGCAGCAGCAACACCAGTAGCAGCATCAGCACCAGTAGCAGCACCTACACAATCCCCACCACCAACAGAACTAGTACCAGCAGTATCACCGTTAGCAGCAGCAGCACCAGCAGCAGCACCATCAGCACTACCAGCGGCATCAGCATCAGCAGCACCACCAGGAGCATCCGCACCAGCACCAGCACCAGCATCAGCATCAGTTGCACCAGCAGCAGTATCAGCATTTCTTAACCTCTCATCCCTTGCATTTTCCTCCCTTGATTCCTCCACCTCCCTTGCATCCTCCTCATCACTGTCATCAGAACCATACGCCAGCAACCCTCTCAGCCCACCGCCCGCCCCATCCTCCAACTCCTCCACCTTCCTCTTGTCTCCAACTGCAGCCGCACCCACACCACCACCACCACTGGCAGAACCAGCACCACCGGCAGAACTAGCAGCACCAGAAGCAGGAAGAGCATGAATGGAGCTAAGACCTGAAGGAGCAGCAGTAGCTTCCTTGGTTGCAGCTTTAGCAGCAGGGGGGGATTTGAGAATCAAGACAGGAGGGGTATGCGGTACGGATCGGCCTAGCCCATCCCACGCTGTGGTCATGCCCTTGCCTGGTGGATGGTTGAAAGGACAAAATTGAGAGTGAAAAGAAGAACATAAGATAATCACAGCACGGCCTAGCGCGTCCCACGCTGTGGTCATGCCCTTGCCTGGTGGATGGTTGAACTTGAAAGGAAAGAGAGAGAAAAGGAAGACCACGAGATCATTCGTTTAGTTGATTGCTTTACACTTCACCACGAAAACAGCAATTACCCAACAAAAGTGCGCGCAGCTTACCAGGCGCATGGGGCGTCGCATGGACGATTAATCGCCGGGGATTTTTGAGGCGCCTCAAAAATAGCTTACCAGGCGCATGGGGTGTAGCATGGACGATTAATCGCCGGGGATTTTTTAGGCGCCTCAAAAATAGCTTACCAGTCGCATGGGGCGTGGCATGGACGAATTGACTTTTGAGTCGACTCAAAACTTACCAGGTGCATGGGGCGTGGCATGGACGATTGACCGCCGGGCCACGTATCTCACTGAGTCTGAGCCGCCCTTACGGGCCTCACTGCCTGCTCGCCTAACAACTGACCAGAAATATAATAGATACCCAACCAAAGGGCACGCAGCTTACCAGGTGCATGGGGCGTGGCACGGATGACCGATCGCCGGGCCACGTGCCTTGAGTCTAAGCCGCCCTCGCGGACATGGATGCCTGCTTGCCTTACTGTTGACCACGGAAACAGCAATCACCCAACCAATAGGCCAGTGACTTACCGGGCGCGTGAGGCGTGGCATGGATGACCGATCGTCGGGATCGTGCCTTTGAGTCTGAGCCGCCTTTGCAGACATGGATGCCTGCTGCCTTACAGTTGACAGCAAGTGTGGTCAAGTGGTAACCACCCAACTCAAAGGCAACTTACCAGGCGCGTGAGGCGTGGCATGGATGACTGATCGCCGGGCCACGTGTCTCTGAGTCTGTGCCGCCCTTGCAGACATGATTGCCTGTTGCCTCTCCATGCGCTCAGCCTCAGCTGCCTGTGTGAATGAGAGTAGACAAGTGGAGTCACAGAACCAGGCGACGCAAGGCATGAGACAAACCCATTGCCATCTACAACTGAGTCTGAGCATCTCTCGCAGACATGATTGCCTGTTGCCTCTCCATGCGCTCAGCCTCAGCTGCCTGTGTGAACGAGAGGGTAGAGATGAGAGGACACCAACACAAATCAACCGAACTGAGTCTGAGCCGCCTTGCTTGCAGACATGATTGAGGCGACTCGTGATACACACGGTCACGGATAGAGGCGACCCGTGAGTCAACTTCATTGCAATTTGCCACTGCTTCCTCTTCATTGCCCTTTTTGCTATCAACAGCGCCTGCTGCCTCTCCATCCATACGCTAGGACTCTGCTGCCTGTGTGAATGAGAGGGTAGAGATGAGAGGACACCAACACCAATCAACCGCACTGAGTCTGTGCCGCCCTAGCAGACATGATCGCCTGCTGCCTCTCCATCCATACGCTAGGACTCTGCTGCCTGTGTGAATGAGAGGGTAGAGATAAGAGAGCACCGCATAACTTAAGGATTAGTTTTCAAATCGAGACATCTCGGCATCAAGTTCTGACACATCTCACGATTGAATTTCAAGATGTCCCACTTGCAGAGCGGGCATCGCAAAGAGGAGGGGAGCAAAGACGGCCATGCTGCTGATTCTGTCTGCTGTTCAGTGTGCTTGCCCGTGTGTTTGCGAAGAAAAAACGTAACCCATGCAAGTACTGCCATATGAAAATGACGGCATGTATACCAGATGCAAACACCCAAACAAAAAAAAAAAAAAAAAAAAAAAAAAACCTCATGCATGCACCTTTGGCCATGCAAAAAGGGCATGCACCCTGCCTTCATTAACTGTTCAGCCTCACTCTATGCCTTACCCTTACCTGGATTTCTCTGTCTTACCCTGGCAAATGGATCATTGCAGAATTTGGAAATATGGCCCTTGCGACCGCACCTGTCATCATGGTAGTGACAAGGGGAGGTGGACAAAGGGGTGTAGGGGAGGTGGACAAAGGGATGTAGGGGAGGTGGACAAAGGGGAATAGGGGCGGCAGCAGGGGTGGGGGCGGGGGATAATTGTTTGGTGCACGATCGGACCATTCTGGCAAATGGGTTCGTTGCAGAATCTGGAGATATGGCCCTTGCGACAAATGCTGCACGTGCCATCTGAGTCAAGAAGGGCGGGGGAGACGTACTTGCGGCACATGTCTGGACATTGCGCCACCAGTTGCGTTGCAGATGACCCGTCTGGCCACAGATGCTGCAAGTGCTGCAGACGCTGCACATGCCTTACTTACCAGCTAAACCTAAACCCTAACCCTAAACTGAGGGCATACTGCTGCACGTACTTGTGGCATGAGACGTTGCGGCATGACCCGTACGGCCGCAGATGCTGCAGGTGCTTCATTTACCAGCTTAAAACCTAAACCCTAACCCTGAACCCAGGGAATACTGCACCGACTTGTGGCATGAGCCGTTGCGGCAAGTTGTGCTAGAGATGACCCTCTGGCCACAGATGCTGCAAGTGCTGCAGATGCTGCACGTGCCTTTATTATCAGTACCCTAAACCCTGACCCTCGACCGAGGGGATACTGCTGCACGTACCTGTGGCATGAGACGTTGCGGCATGACCCAGGGGATTCTGCATGTACTTGTGGCAGGAGACGTTGCGGCGGTTGCGCTGCAGATGACCCGTCTGGCCACAGATGCTGCAGGCGCTGAACGTGCCTTATTTATCAGTACCCTAAACCCTAACCCTGAACCAAGGGAATCCTGCTGCACGTACTTGTGGCAGGAGACGTTGCGGCAGTTGCGCTGCAGATGGCCCGTCTGCCCGCAGATGCTGCAGGCGCTGCACGTGCCTTAATTATCAGTACCCTAAACCCGAACCCTGAACCGAGGGAATTCTGCTGCACGTACTTGTGGCAGGAGACGTTGCGACAGTTGCGCTGCAGATGGCCCGTCTGCCCGCAGATGCTGCAGGTGACGCCTGCTGTGCATTCCCACGCCATGTGCCCACGGCTACTCCCCCCACCCACCACGTGCACGAGGAGATGTGCACAACAGGAGAGCGCAATAAGAAAGGGGTGCAGCAGAGAGGGATGAGTGAGAGGGAGAGGTTGATTCATTGCTTGAAGGGAGAGGGATGAGTGAGAGGGAGAACTTGTGCGTTCCGATGCCATGTGCCCCCCCCTACTCCCTTCGCCCCCACCCATCAGTGCACGATGAATTGCGCACAGAGAAACGGATGGAGCACGGAGGGAAGGAAGAGAGACAGCGAAGGTGGATGGTTTCTTGCTTGTAAATCTAGGAAAATGGTCTTGAAACTTGTGCATTCACACGCCATGTGCCCGCGGCTACTCCCCCCTCCCCCCCATGTGAACGATGAGACGTGCAGAACAAGAAAGCGATGAAAAAAGGGTGCAGCAGAGAGGGATGGGGTGAGAGGAAGAGGATGGAGAAAAGGGTGCAGCAGAGAGGGATGAGGGGAGAGGAAGAGGATGGAGAAAAGGGTGCAGCAGAGAGGGATGAGGTGAGAGGAAGTCGTTGGAAAAAGGGAGGCGTGCGAATTCAGGGATGAGCGGGTAAGGGGATGGAAGAGGGAATGAGGGAGGGGGGAGAGATGGAATGCGGAAAAGGCGATGTGAGAGGGAATGAGGCTCTGCTGAATCAATACAACGGACCGTTTGAATGAGGGAGGGAGAGAGAGGGTATGCGGGAAAGGGGACGAGAGGGAGAATGTGTTTGGGGATGAAAGAGGGGGAATGAGTACGGGTATGAGAGAAGGATGAGGAAGAGGGATGAGAGAGAGGGAGAAGAAGAGGGGATGAGAAACTGGATGAGAGAAGGGACGAGGAGAGAGGGAACAAGCGAGGGAATAAGAGAGGGGATGAGAAAGAGAGAGGAACGTACCCGTTGCATTTGAAGCACGTCTTGATGTTACAGTCCCTGGACAAATGACCTAATCGGCCGCATCGATGACATGACGAAATAGCTTCCATGGCGCCGCCGCTCCTCCGCGCGTTACGATTAACTCAGAGCGGCGCGACGATTCACGGTAAATTTACAGTGGCCGCAGCGGTAACTTCAGGACGTCGAAGGGGACAGGGCTGCGGAGGTTGCCAACGCTGCCGCCGTGCCTCCGTGTTTAACGGTCAACTCACAGCGGCCGCCGCTAGAGAGAGCTCAAGCTTCTATACGTGCTCTCATAGCAAGTACTGTGTAGCATTGAAAACCATCTAAAGGCGATTAGAATTTTTCCAACGTTCGATCAGCCGCGATAATCGAAGTCGAAGCTACGGGCCGCGTTGCTACGAGTATTGCGAGTCGCCTTTCGTGGCAGCAATACCGCTCGTGCCGCGGAAATACGTTCAACCCTAAATCGAAATTTCAGGAATTATGTTAGCGGATCAGCTACCACGGCTTTGGAAATTTCTAGATACGCCACATATCGCATGCACGCGTCTTGTTCTACTCGGGTAGGGCGGCACTTTCTGCAGAGGAAATCCTAAAATTGAGCGAATTTCTATCTACAGTAAGCCCTAACCAGCTGACAGGAAATTCAAGGCCTTGTTTACTAAAATCTAAACTTCAGAATCGAAAGACGGTCTCGATATTTGAACAAATCCAACTATGGCTCGTACACGGGATTTGGCATAGCGCCCGTTAAAGCTCGCGGCCCAAATTGTTCAACCTTAGTAAGGTTGACCTTTGGGTGGCGGGAGAAGAAGTTGACTTGTTGGGAGTTGGGCTGTTTGCTTTCGCCCAATTTCGCGCTAGACCCTTGGGGTTTTCGTTGGCACGGCAAACCCCTGGGAGCAACCTGGGTTTGCTTCGAGAGTCCCAAATTGCAATCAGCATATTGCTGTTGTTCCCTGCTCTCCCATTCGACAAAAAATATCTGGCCAAATCAGATTGCATCTCACTTCTCGTAACCACCCTTCACAACCCAAACAGCACTCAAAACATCACCCCCATCAACCTTAGTAAGCTTGGCCAGCGTGCCCCGCAATTTGGGCCGCGAGCTTTAAGAGCCATCAGATTCCAAGAATGGGTCGAATCAACGAATGCGGTGCCTTGCTGGGGTTGAAGGGAAACTTCTGCTTGCGGTTTTAGGGCGACGTCAGGTTGTACAACCTCCTGTACGCCTACCGCGGTTAATTTTGTTTCAACACGGTGCAGAGCGGTACGAGGCGAGAACCGCTTTTCACAGTGCTGGACCATCCTGAACAACAGAACAAGAACTGTACACACATGAGAATTGTATAACCTAACTTCGCCCTTAGTGCCATGGATCCCAGCCAACCGGTGAGCACCGACGGATTTACATCAGGCGTACTGAACCACGTCAGCGTTCACCACTTCAGTTTTTGTATGAATCTTGTCACAAGCCTTCATGAAGCAACCAGCTGATTGTGCCGTACTATCCGTCAACACTAGTTTATCGTCGGAAAGAACAGCGTCCATTTACTAGAACATGGATCTACTAGTATAGAGTATATGCATCTGGTGGTTTCAAGCCTCGCCACGTGATCCAATCAGGGACCTGTCCGTGTCAACATCACCTCGATGTTGCTCTCGATGCATTGGCCGCATTCGCAAATCGGAGGTGGAGGTTTCAATGCTCCACCAGTCGTTGATGAGCTCCAAGGTCGGAGATTGATTCTCCCGCCAGTCAGCCTGAGCTGCAGGGTTCGCTAGAAGCAACAGATACAGCAGCACCACACCACACTGGCGGCGGCCTTGTCTGTCATTGAACCGAGCAATTTCAGCAAGATGCTTCGCGCTGCAATACGGTAATTTCTAGTTTACACACTTTTGAGTACGGTATTGAGTGAAAGTGAGCAGCAGCCTCTGTTGCTCACTCCATGTGAAATGGCAGGCGACGCTTGAAAGACAACAATAACGGCTTCAGTAGTCCGTATGCACATCGTTTCATCCGACCCTGCTTTGACCGCTGTCAGCTGTGGCCTTGTGAACTACGAATCTGCTGACAACGGCCTAACTGACGTGTGACTATCTAATCCTTCTTCTAATGCCTAGTCCTACTTGATCTCTGTCCGCTCTTTCTCGCCAGCGATCACCAATCTAGAAATCCTGTTGATACCTGAACTCTGACTGCGAATCTGTAGCTTGCTTCCTCAGCGATTGCCTAGAAGATATTGAAGTAGAAGCAGCTGAAGTTACCTTAGCAGTAGGGTAACACAGTCCACACTCACTTATGGGTCTCAAGGCCCTGTCCGAGCTGCATGGTAGGCAGGATTTCCTTCGTTTGAAGGACGTCCGATTCGTGCATAAGAGTCATTGTCACGGACCACCACTCTCTAATGGTCATAGTTTTCAAGTCCGAGCGGGTCCGCGGAAGCAGAAGAACAACTCACAGAGGCATCACAGCTCTCAACCTGGAGGCGAATCTACGATGAGCACGAGTAACGGAAGAACCGATGGTACAGAGAAGAATAGCGCGGTGAATTCACCGTTTTCTGTTCTCAAGGGTGTGACCCCTGTCAACAGAGAGCCCGTGGCTCAGGTATGGCCATCTCCACCCGTGTTTTATAGTCAGCTCCTTCTGTTCTTTATGCTACCACCTGCGATTCAATGTTGTAGACTCTTCTGTAGATTCTTAATTCACTCCTGGTTATCCTTTTCCTTTCTGTCAGGTAAATTCGCGCGTGGCTTCACGCCAGACAACAGAGAAAGAAAGCTCTAGTAGTGGGGATCCGCTTGTGGAAGAATATTTGACAAAGTATTATGGAAGCGATGAAGACGAAGACATACTTCGAGCAAGCAAACGGACCGAGAAATTCTGGAAGGTGCGTCTTGTAGCGGGGTCATAATGACCCCAAAGAAAAGACCCGATTATATAGTTGTCCCAGTCAGATTGAGGTGATGCGGATGGGAATCTGGTCAATCGAGCATTCATACAGCGGGATTCTTGGAGGTTCGTACATTCACCCCAAATTGGGTTGAAATTACCACTGTGTAAGGGGTAAGAAACGATGAAGAAATTACCCCTCGTTGCGAAGCAAAGTCCCCCCTTCCCCTCCCCCCTCTCCTTCCCACCCATGCCATTGGGATCTGGGTGCATCTGCATACCCCCAATTCTTCCAGGCCTTTGCAGCGGAGCGCAAGGATGGGGACGAGAAGGTTCCAAGCAGGTTCAGGCGGAAGAAACTGCCAAAGTCGGAGAGACGAGCAGTAGCAGGGAGTGGGGTTGCTGAGCTGGCTTCCGCATCTGCACACCCGGTTGATTTTTACGATATCAGGGGAGAATACTCTGATTTTGAAAGCATGTGAGTGAGAGCGTCCGGGGGGGGGAGAGAGCATAACTGTGAAAGTTTCTGGACATGGGGATGGACTGACATAGTTTTTATATTCGCTTTTAGTTTCAGCTGCGCGCCAGGTAGGTAGTAATAGTCTGCGGTCCCTGGAAAGAAGTATTAGAAACTGGCGAAGCTGCTAGCATGCCTGTCCTACAGACGAGACGCCGTCAGAGCTGAGTCATATGTGGGAGGCGTAACCATCTTTTTTGTTACAGGGTTACAACGCGCTTGGCAGCTGTTTCTTAGCAACCCTGAAAAAGCTGGTTTGTACCCTCTTATGCCGTTTTGTTAGTCGACTCAAAAGCTGAATCATACCCCCTTAGGCCTCCATCTGGGGCGGCTCCTTCCCCGTCTCGGCCCCACACACGCGTTGCCTCTGGTTCTGCTGCTGCTGGTGGGTTGCCACAACGTGGTGGGCACTGCGCACAACAGCTGGGCCCAAGCTGAAGGCCCGTGCCAGGCCATGTCATGCCGTCCACCCCTCCTCCCACTCACACACCCGTTTCACCTTTTTCCAGCTCCACAGACGCCATGCCTCAGCTGCCGCTGGTGGATTGCCATAACGTGGTGGACACTGACCGCTGGGCCAAGCTTAAGGGCAGTCCCAGGCCTCGCTTCGCGACTTCCCTCCACCTCCACCCTATTCCGTCCCCACCCCCCCCATATTCCGTCCTCCCCCTCCCCACTAT